TTGGTTTTGGCAAGTTTGATTATAATATGTCTTGGTGACTTTCTTTTGGTATCTACTTTATGTGGGGTTTGATGAGCATCTTGTATAGATATCTTGTCATCTTTCACGATATCAGGGAAGTTTTCTGCCAACAAATCTTCAACAATTCTCTCTGTATTTTCTGTTATTCCCCCCTCCCCCACCCCATTCTGGTATTTCATTCATTGGTAGGTTATTCCTCTTGATAGAGTTCCACGTAATTCTTAGGGTTTCTTCATTTTTAAAAAATTCTTTCATCTGATTTTTCCTCTAATAAGTTGGTGTCAAGTGCTTTATCTTCATTCTCACTTATTCTGACTTCCATTGCCTCAATTCTTCTCCTATGACTTTCTATTGAGTTATCTAATTCTGAAATTTTATTGTTAATCTTCTGAATTTCTCTTTGCTATCTCTTTATGGATTCTTACAGCCTGTTAAATTTGTCATTATGCTCTTCTATAATCTTCTTAAGTTCCTCTGTTGCTTTGTCTGGGTGTTCTTTGGCTTGTTCTGCATTTTCCATGATCTCCTTCCTGATCTCTTGAAGAGTTCTTTATATTAATCTTTTGTATTCTACCTCCAGTAATTGCAAGAAGTTTTCTTCCTCTGGAAAATTTCTTGATTCTATGTTTGCTTACTGTGTCCTAGCTTCTTGTTTTGTTTTGTTTTAATATGCCCAAATAGGCTGCTCATGTGAGCTAGTTTGATTATTGGTGCCTTTGAAGCTCTAACATCCTATCACCAGGTGGTTAGATCTGTTACTAGGTATGTGAGCCCAGGAGTCCTTTTACTTTTCTTTTATGGATACAACTCAGGTGTCCAGGTAGTTGGTCGCCAAGCATGTGGTGCAGGCGCTCACCTATAGTCCTAGACGGGCAGAGGTGATTGGTGTAGGCACAGGTATCTGGCTGCAGTAAGGGGTCATGCATTGAGCAAGGCAGGGGGCTAAGGCTGCCCAAGTGTCTGTAAGAATAGCACTTGTCCCTGTTCCCTAGAGTGTGTAGGTGGGTAGGTTTTGCAGCCAGACTATGGGCACTCATTGCTGTTGGCTGTAATGACTGGGAGGCACCACTTATTCTTGGACCCCCATTGTGGGTGGCTAGGTGGTATTGATGGAGCCACCAGTCCTCAGGCCCCTGATGTGGGTAGGTGAGGACCCTGCTTAACGGGCAGAGTGGTGTCAAGTGTCACGAATCTGCCTCTCCACTATATAGCTGATACAGCTGAAGTTAGGCTTCAGGTATATACCCTGTTGTACTGTGGTAATGAGGGTCTACACTGTTGAAATGGGCCCACAGAAGTTTATGCAGGGGTGAAAGGCATTCAAAGTCTATGGACCCCTTATACTTCTGCTTAAGCAAAGGAGCTGTGCTTACCCTGAGTTCCCAGTTTAGGGGAGCTGGCAGATTATTTTTTCCTGTATGTTAATTTGCTCCCTCTCCAAAGCTGGAAGAATGGCTTAGGGCATGTGACAGGTCCTACTTCCTTCCGGACCAGGGGACTCAGCAGTTGCTGAAGCCGGCATGGACCTGGTGCAGAGCAGGGAGGTGGCAGGTAAATGGGAGAGTGGTTTTTTAGATCCACATGGTAGGTTAGACACATGTACTTATCTTTCGCCAATTGAGCTCCGCTTTTCACTAGTTCTGTAGCTTGAGCTGACTCTTTGCCACTTGGTCTCTCCCAGTGTGGAAAATGCATCCGCGCATCACTGCTTGCCTCACCTCACGCACCAGCTGTGGGGTACTGGTTCCCGCTGGGTCGGGTCTGGCAACTCCTTGCTGCTTCTGAAACATCTCTCCCTCCCCCTCTGCTCAGTCCAATTCCTCAACTTTGCCTTTGATGTTCAGGGCTCCTAGATTGTCATATATAACAGATTCACTTGTTTTTTCAGGTCTTTGTTGTAAGAGGGACCACAGGAAGCGTCTGACTACTCTGCCATCTCAACCCCGCCTCCTCTTAGCACTGTAACTTAATTCACTTCATGAAAAACAATTTGCCTTTTGAATTGTCCTTAGAGTCTGAGGTATTTTAAAACTTGGAAGATAATATAAACCCAGGAATTTGAAGTCAGAAATTGGTATCTATTAACCTAAAATCTAATGTATAATAAGGGTTCTTCTGTTAGGACTCCTGAGTCATTACGCAAAGAATTTTTTGGCACTTCAATTACTTTAGAAATCTCTTGGAGTGAAGTTGGTTCTGAATCAGATACTGCTCTCATATCTGATTTCGTAACATTGTTTGAAAGTATCCTAACACTTCACACTAATTAGCAACAACAAAAAGTCCCTATTGATTACTTCCATTTGGTCTTCAACTGTTTCAGGTTGGAACTACTGAGATGAAATATAATGAGGAAGATAACTTTTAAAGAATTAATACAGGAGATTAGAGTTCATATTTTTTTCTTCTGGGGCTATAATGAACATAGGCAAGCAAGCGGTTTCTTTCACTAGCATAAGTGCTTTGTGTTTAGAATGGTTTAGAATGTGTTTAGAATGGTAATATATGAATGATAGAACATGAGCTCTCCAAGGGCACTCACAATTACTTAGGCAACTGTATTAGTTTCCTGGGGCTGCAGTAACAAAATATCACAAACTAAATGTCTTATAAGAACATAATTTTTTTTGCTTCACAATTCTGAAGGCTAGGAGTCTGAAATCAGGCTGTTGACCTTCTGAGGTCTCTGAGAGAGATTCTGTTCCATGGCTTGTAGACTCATCTTCACATGGTTGTTGTCTCTCTGTCTCTCTGTACCTTCTTTTTTTATAAGGACACCAATCATCTAGGATTAAGACCCACCCTACTGAAGCATGATCTCATGTTAACCTAACTGATTAACATCTTCTGTCTTAGTCATCTAGTGCTGCTATAACAGAAATACCGCAAATGGATGGTTTTAATGAAGAGAAGTTTATTTCCTCACAGTCAAAGTAGGCTAAAAGTCCAAATTCAGGGCATCAGCTCCAGGGGAAGGCTTTTTCTCTCTGTCGTCCTTCTTCTCTCTGGTGTTCCCCTGGACTAGGAGCTTCTCTGCGCAGGGACCTTGGTCCAAAGGACATGCTCTGCTCCGGGCACTGCTTTCTTGATGGTATGAGGTCCCCAATTCTCTCTTGCTTCCCTTTCCTTTTGTCTCTTGAGAGATAAAAGGTGGTGCAGGCCACACCCCAGGGAAACTCCCTTTACATTGGATCAAGGATGTGACCTGGGTAAGTGTGGTGTTACAATCCCACCCTAATCCTCTTTAACATAAAATTACAATCACAAAATGGAGGCCAACCACACAATTCTGGGAATCATGGCCCAGGCAAACTGATACACACACTTTTGGGGAGACATAATTCAAACCATGACATCTTCAAAGACTCTATTTCCAAAAAGGGTCACATTCGCATATCTTTTTTGGAGGACACAATTCAATCCATAATGGCCACCAGTCCTTATCCTATAGCAGAGGAAAAGCATCATCACTTGCCATAGCTATTTAGGGGCAGAGTCAAGACCATAATCAATGTCTCCTGGCCCCATGTCTAGAGTATCCCAAAGCATGGTATGTGTGCTATCAGTGGAAGAGGAGATATTTTCAGTGGTGCTGTAAGTATCTTATGCATCCCTCGCAATATCTATCTACTATGGTTCTGTATACCTCTTAGATACTCATATATTTGCTAGTGGGATAAAGGCATAGAAATCAAAATACCATTACAGTCTAAAATGCAACAGGTCACTGACTTAAAAGTTTACTTTATTGGTCTTATGTTGAAGTATATATAATATGGTTATAGGAATAGAAGGCAGAATGAGGTTGGTATGTCATAAAACACTTTTTTTCTAAAATCATTCTGAGAGTGGGTTGGCCTATCTAATACTTGGATGTCAGTGTTTTATGTTTATAGCAATCTTATATACACTTGGTGTGCACTCAGAATTTTCCAAAAACATTTATATTTGTAATCATATTGTGGGGGATTACAGATAGTCAGATTTTTGACACTTTTCCTATCAAGAGGTAGAGTTAATTTCCCCTCCTCTTGGCCTGTGACTACTTTGACCAGTAGAGCTCAATGAAAGTGATGCCATGCTAACATCAGGCTGAGCCTTTAGGAGGACTAGAAATTTTCACATTGGCCTCCTGTTGCTCTGAGCTGCCAAATAGGAAATCTGACTACTTTGAGGTGCCATGATGAAAAAAGTGTTGTGGAAAGCAAAAGAATAGAGCAGAGAGAAGAGGAGGGGTGGGGAGGAAAAGGGAAAGGAGTGGAAGACAAGGAAAGAGAGCTGCTCAGCCAGCCACCAGCTATTCCAATCCTAAACCATGTGAATTATCTCAGTTCAGTTGAGGCTCCAGACAGAAGAAGAGAGATGAACCCCCCCTCTGTACCTTATTTGAATTCCTGACCCTCAGAACTGTAAGATACAATAATAAATTTTTATTTTAAGCCACCAGGTTGTGGGGCAGTTTATTATACATAGATAACTGGAAAAGATGTTTTAAAATAATATAACCAATTGTAACTTTAATTCATAAATGTATGTACATAGATTACATAAAATAAGAAATGAAATACACATGTGACATTTTAAGAATATGTCTAATAGGTTACTTGTGCAAAATTAAAATAATCTTAAACAAACATATTTTAACATTTTTGAAATTAGTTAATCATAGCTTTAATATTAAATTTTATGGCTTTTAAAAAGTTATTAAGATTAAAAAATTAATAACTGATCCTGTTTCAACAGTGGTGATTAATCCACTATGGTCATAATTAGCAATATGACACAGATAATTTAAGCTGCAGAAAAAACAAGTATGAAGAGCCTTCCTAAGTTTTATGTCTACCCAAAAATGTGATGCCAATAAACTGAACAACAACAACAAAAGGGCATCTTGGAATCTTGGAACAAAATCTAATCTGAAAGCATCTGTAATGGGACCCACACAAAAGCCTTGTCCTGATTTGTCATAAAATAATAACTCATTGGGCTGTTTCTATAAGACACAAGTTTTTGGATTCAGTGTTCCTGAGCTGTTCACTCACCGTGCCAGAACAGCTGACTTCCCACAGTGTATACTTTAGTATCTCAGCAACTGAGGCACGAAAACGAGCCTGGAACTTCTTGCTAATTAGGACATAAAGAATGGGATTCAAACAACTATTGAGGAATGCCAAACCAGTGGAGAGGGGGATTCCAGCCTGCAGCATCTGGGAGAAGTAGCTGTTGTGGTGAATCGTGAGCTCCCAAATGCTGAACAGGTGATAAGGAGTCCAGCAAATCAAAAAGGCTATGACCACAGCCAGGACTGTCCAGAAATGCTTACTGGAGATCAGGATGCTTCGTTTCTTCACCTGGAAGATGAGGCATGAGTAGCAAATGCTCATTGTTATCAAAGGGAAGAGGTACCCAACAATAAATTTCACCCAAGTCAGAGCATGGTGCCTCATCAATCTGAGGTCAGGATCATTCTCATGGAAATTGTTATAGCAAGCAGTGTGGTTATTAAACTCCACGGTGTCCCGGAAGTATAGCGCTGGACCCCCAATCAGAGAAGCCAAAAGCCAGACTAATATGATAACAATCAGGGAGTTCTTCAGGGTTCGGTGTCGGTGAGACAAGACAGGATGGACCAAGTGGAAATAGTGGTCTAGGCTGATCACTGTCAGGAAGAAAACACTGGCAAACATGTTCAACTGAGCAATGAATGAATTGGCCTTGCACAACCAGATGCCAAAGGGCCAATGGAAATTCATGGCCACGTAGGAGATGTAGAGGGGCAGAAAGAGAACAAAGATGAAATCTGCAATGGCCAGATTGAGGAACCAGAGAGTGGCAACTGTCTTCTTCCACTTGAACCCCGTAAACCAAATGACAATGGCATTTCCTGGAACTCCCAGAACAAACGCTAAACAGTATAACCCCACAGAGACCCAGTGAATAACTCCCAGGTGGTCTTTCTCCTCCAACTCTGACTCTGTAAGGTAATATTCCATGGTGTAAGAATAGTTCTCAAATTCTTCAAATAATATTTCCTCTAGATCTTCCATGGTCTTGTTATGTGGAGAATGAGGAGATCTATAGAAGCAGATTTTAAAAAGAAAGAAGAAATAAAAAAAAAAAAAAGAATATAAGTTCAGTGAGTGATAAGGAACATGAGGATTTGATCTTATGAACTGGAAATAGTATATTTCTTGGTAGGACTTATGATTACACTATAGATGTCCAAGTCTTGCTGGACCTCTGTTTCACTCTGATGATCATTTTTAAAACTGTGAGAGCTCATTTTGGATAAGTGTTCAGTAATTGCTAAATTAAAATGACTAACTTTACAGGTACACTTCCTCTGTTCATAATGCTTGTAGGGCTGACTAGAAAGAATCTAACATTTAACAAGAATTAGGCTCATGCTGTATATTACTCTTTCATGGATGATGCAAAAGAAAACAGTTTCTGTGCTTGAGGGGCATGTAATCTGGTGATGATTAATACTTACATAGTGATGACTTCAAAATCTGTATTTCTAGCCCTAACTTCTTGAGCTCTAGACATACAGTCCCAACTGCTTCCTGGACCCATCTACTTGGATGTCACAGGCAATCACTGGAGATTTGACCAACTATCTTGCACCTCAGGATGTTTTGATTCTATGTTTATGAATAAAAACATGTAAATCAGACTTATATCAACACGGATGACTTTTCATCAAAAAGCTATCTTTTGAAGCCTTTTTTTCCCCCTACCAAGAACAGTTTTCCTGGGTTAAGAAGGCTTGAATGTCAGTTTTTCAATGAAAACAAATTTTACTGGGTGAAATTTGGCTTCATCAATTTTGTGTTGTATTAGTTATTGCTATAGGTAGTGTCATGGATTGAATTGTGTCCCACAAAAATATATGTCAACTTGGTTAGGCCATGACTCCCACTATTGTGTGGCTGTCCTCCATTTTGTGATTTTCCTATGTGTTATAAATCATAATCTCTGCCTGTGGTTAAAGAGGATTAGGGTGGGACTGTAACACCCTTACTAAGTAAGGTCACATCCCTGATCCAATGTAAAGGGAGTTTCCTTGGGGTGTGGCCTGCACCACCTTTTATCTTACAAGAGGAAAAAGGAAAGAGAAGCAAGCAGAGAGTTGGGGACCTCATACCACCAAGAAAGCAGCACCAGGAGCAGAGTGTGTCCTTTGGACCCAGGGTTCCTGCACGGAGAAGCTCCTAGTACCGGGCAAGATTGATGACAACGACCTTTCTTCAGAGCCGACAGAGAAAGGTTTCTCCTGGAGCGATGCCCTGAATTTGGATTTGTAGCCTACTAGACTGTGAGAGAATAAATTTCTCTTTGCTAAAACCATCTACTTGTGGTATTTCTGTTATAGCAGGACTAGATGACTAAGACAGGTAGTATTCAAAACCAGGTAGAAAAAAGATAAATAGTTGTATTCCTTTAATGGGGTAATCAATAGGGCAAAGATGTAAAATTTGGGATAATAGTTGGGCCATAGATGCTCACAGGCATCTCAGACTCAACTAACACTGAATTCATCATCCTACCTGAAATCACTGAGGAATCTGGCAGGGCATATATTAAAAACAAAAGCGATTTATTAGCTTCCTCCCAACCCCAGACTCAGCCGATTTCTTTTTGTTCTTCAGCATTCAGCTGAAATGCCACCTTTTCTTGAGGATAGTTTCTGGCATCACCTACCCTGAGACAATAATAATAATAAATTACAGCCAATATTATTGGTAATTTGCCATGTGCCAGGAATATATGATCTAATTTGGTCCTCACAACAATCTTATAAAGTAGGTAAGTACTATCACTATTCCCATTTTACAAGAAAGGGTATTGAAATTCAAAAAAGCTAAGTGACTTTATCAAGAACACACTACCTATTAATGAAGAGTCAGGATGCAAACTCAGATCTGTTGGACCCAGAATGTGAGCTCTTAACCACTACGACATTTCCCTCCTGGCACAGTGGTTAAGGGCCTGGCTGCTAACCAAACGGCCGGCAGTTCGAATTCACCAACCACTCCCTGGAAACACTATGGGGCAGTTCTACTCTGTCCTACAGAGTCACTTTGAGTTGGAATTGAGTCACCGGCAATGGGTTTGGTTTTGGTTTCTGGTATAAAACAGTATATTGTTATTGCTTTTTCTTTTTTTGTCTCCAATTTCTCCACTACCAGACTGTGAACTCCTTGAGAACAATGACTGTTATTTCTGTACCCCCAGTGCCTAGTACAATTCTTTTTTTTGTTGTTGTCATTGTTGAGATATATACAACAAAACACATGTCAAATCAACCATTTCTACATGTACAATTCGGTGATATTGATTACATTCTTGGAGTTCTGCAACTATTCTCACCCTCCTTTCCTGAGTTGTTCCTCCCCCATTAACATAAACTCACTGCCCCCTAAGGTTCCTATCTAATCTTTGGAGTTGCTGCTATCACTTTGATCCCACATAGATAGTTCTTAAAAGAGCATAATGCTGAAGGCATCCATTTTTCTAGTTAAGCAAAACTATCATTTGGTTTTAAGAAGACTTCAGGGGATAGTTTTGGCTTAAGTTTTAAAGATTATCTCAGGTCAATAGTTTCAGGGATTCAGCCAGCCCTCTTGGCTCCAGAAAGTCTGGAGTCCATGAGAATTTGAAATTCTGTTCTGCATTTTCCCCCCTTTGATCAGGATTCTTCTATAGAATCTTTGATCAAAATGTTTAGTAATGGTAGCCAGGCACCATCTAGTTCTTCTGCTTGCATGGCAAAGGAGGCAGTTGTTCATGGAGGCAATTAGCCACACATTCCATATCGTCTTCCTATTCCTGACTCTCTTCCCTCTGTTGCTTCAATTGTCATGCCTTGGATGGCTGCTTGCAAGCTTTTAAGACCCCAGGCACTACACAACGAACTAGGAGGTAGAATAGAAGCACTAAACATGTTATTAGGCCAATGAACTGGGATGTCCCATGAAACCACAACCCTAAACCTCCAAACCAAGGAACCAAATCCCGTGAGGTTTTTGATTGTACATAAGCAGCCTCAGTAGCTACTTTTTGTTGTTGTTGTTGTTGTTGTGTATATATCTATCACACAACTTCTGTCAGTTCAACTTTTTACAGGTATACAACTTATTGACAACAATTACATTAATTGGCTGTGCGACCCTACCCTTAATCAATGCAATTTTTTCATCACCTTTAACACCCTCTTCCCACTCTCCTGCCCCTGGTAACCACTAATAAACTTTGTTCTCTGTACATTTGCCTTTTCTTGTCTTTTTATATAAGTGACGACATACAATATTTGTCCTTTTGTAATTGACTTATTTCACTGAGCATAATGTCCTAGTACAATTCTTAACTTATCATAGGTGTTTAACATGTGTTTAATAAATAACTGGCTCTGCTACTAATCCATCCAGAACCAAATGTAATTTTAAAAGCCTCACGTGAGGGCTTGTGAGTTTACCTCTAAGTCAATGTTGCTACCAGCATCTCTCTGACCTTGACCTCATAGTTCTACCCCTGGGATCGTGCCTTGTTCCTTGACACCAGGTCCTTTCTTTGGCATGTCCTACTCCAGTAAGAACTGGTTTCTCTGTTGCTGTCCTATTCTTTCAGCCCTGGGACCTTATCCTGCCCTCTTCACTCCTGGTGGCTGACCCTCCCCAGTGTAAAATTCTTTCCAGCCTAGTCTTAAACTCCTTGTCTTGGTTTTCTGCCTGCATACTAGGATACCCTCACCTTCTTGGTGCCTATGACCCACTTTTTATTTTTTTAATTTATTTTCATTGTACTTTAGATGAAGGTTTACAGAACAAATAGTTTCTCATTAAACAGTCAGTACACATATTATTTTATGACATTGGTTAACAACCCCATGACATGTCAACACTCTCCCTTCTCGATCTTGGGGAACTTTTTTTTTTTTTGGTGAAAATATATATAGCCAAAGATATACCATTTCAAAAATTTCTACGTGTACAATTCAGTGACATCGATTACATTCTTCCAGTTGTGCTACTATTCTCACTATCCTTTTCCAAATTATTCCATCACCGTTATCTTCAACTCACTGTCCCCTAGGCTTCCCATCAAAACTTTTGAGTTGCTGTTGTCAATCTGATCTCACATAGATAATTCTTTTCTTTCTTTAGATTAAGGTTTACGGAACAAATAGTTTCTCATTAAACAGTTAGAACACATATTGTCCGATGACAATGGTTAACAACCCCATGACATGGCAACACTGTCCTTTCTCAAACTTGGGTTCCCTATCACCAGCTTTCCTGTCCCCTCCTGCCTTCTAGTCCTTGTCCCTGGACTGCTGTGCCTCATTAGTTCCATTTTGTTTTATGGGGCTGTCCAATCCCCGGCTGAACGGTGAACCTTAGGAGTGATTTCATCACTGAGCTAAAAGGGTGTCCGGGGGCCATAATCTCGGGGTTTCTCCAGTCTCTGTCAGGCCAGTAAATCTGGTCTTTGTTTGTGTGTTAGAATTTTGTTCTACATCCTTCTCCAACTCTGTCCAGGACCCTCTGTTGTGAACCCGGTCAGAGTAGTATGACCTGCTTTTTTAGGCTATTAGCAATTCTGAAGCCAAAATGGCCCAGGTGGTTGTCTGAATCACTTCGCAAAACCCGAAGCAATGATATGAAGGAATCTTATTACCCAAGCACAAAACATCTCTAAAAGGAGCCTAATTGTATAAAATCACTATCCTCACCAAAAGTCAGAGATCTCCCCGCTTCCATGACTGAAACTGCTGGGCCAGTATGATCACAGGGCCTGCTGAAGGACACCATCCACCACTCCTTCATATTCTCTGGGGTGGAGGACAACCTTGAGGATGAACGATCTATCTGAACAGAATCCCATCAGATAGGAAGCCCTGTACCTGAGAGGTTTCTGGTCTTCCAGAAACCAGAAGAGTGGATTAGATGCAAGGACAAGTTCAGAGGAGCTTTGAGAAGGATCTTCAAGAGGAGCTGAATGGTGCCCAGCTAAATACTTAATGGCAAATATAAGCTAGGAATTCCCCTATGACTTAGAACAGATGTTCGTAA